ATGGGCCTCTTTCCCTGCACAGCCATCTGCAGGTGCTCTGGTAGAGGCTGACTGCGTGCCAGCATCTTGTAGGCCATAATCTGTGCCCTGAGTTGGTGTAGCTGGTTCTGGTTGAAGGGAGTGGGTCCACCTGCACCACCTGCTGCAACAGGGGGGCCCCCTGGCCCTTGGGGACCACCACGATTCGGTTGACCCATACCCTGATTTGAGTCTCCACTTCCCTCCATAGGGCCTGCTCCCGGGCCAGATGGGCCTCCAGGCATCATGGGACCAGAAGGAGGGCCGTTGGCTGGGACGGGACTAGGTGCGTGCTCCGAGCCTCCTAATGGAGAGGGGTAACCTGCAGACAGAACAGAGGCACAATGGGTATGGCAAAAAGTTATCTCTGAAGTGTTAAAGAAGGTTTTTTGTAATTAAAAACAAACAAACAAACAAGAAAAATATGTTGAATAAGGATAATAAGAGAACCAGGTGGCTGTATCTCCATGTACTATAGATAAACTCGAACACTGCTGTGGTGTCTTCTATATTCCTCCCTCTGAACAACCTCTGTTGCTTGCTGACTGGTTTTGTAGATGCAGCTGCTTTTGTTGTTGTCTGAAAGGGGAAGCCCCTAAACCCCGCCCCTCCTGTCACCCTGCCCAGCGCTGTCTGCTACTGCTGCTACATGAACAGCAACACAAGAGGAGAAACCGGCTGGATGGGTTTCCACACGCACATTGTATACCAGCACAACTGCATTACTGGTTTCTTTTGCAAAGAGCATTTCAGGGCCAGAACTAAGTTCCGTGAGTTAAAATTTTCTTCACTCAGTGTGCATTAACTCAAGTTAGAAGAGGACTGAAGATGCAGACTTTACCGCAAACGTATCAACATGACACTATGGTGTTAGTTTAGGTTTCACCTTTCTCTAGTCCTGACACACATTACCATGAAGCACTTTTCTGTGTGACACAACATACCTTGGGAATGTTGATCCATCGGGCTCGGAGGGGGTCCCATCCCACTGTGTCCCCCTGGTCTCATGCCCATGCCCTTCATCTGGCCATAGCGAGGGTCATCGGGCACTCCCTTCTCATGCATGGCTTCCATTGGCTGCATAAATGAAACCGAATAATCACAAATGAAACAAACACTGAAGTTTGTGCAGTGTGACACTGGAACACACTGCACAAAACAATTAACAGGAAAGACACGTAAAGTATGTAAAGTACAGAAATGATTCCACAACCACTCACTTTATCTAATGATAAATATTACTGTGTTTAAGCTATTCAACATAATCACATGCATGCGTTATTTGACAAAATGTCGTTTTTTGTTTTACTTTATGCATCTGGTGCATGTTGTCCTGAGGATATCCTGAGGGTCCCTGTGGAGGATGGGGGTGTCCAGATCCTGGAGGTCCTGGGCTAGGCCCCATCATGCTGTGGGCCGAGCCTGGTGAGGGACCTGGACTTGGCCCCATCATGCCTCCTGGAGATGGCCCTGGGCCTGGGGAGGGACCAGGGCGAGGTGTCCCTCCCATAGGGGGGTCAGGAGTGGACATCTCTAAGGGGGAACTGGGAATGTGTGGCTGCAGGAAGTACCCTTAAAAGAGACATTACAACAAGAATTAAGAAAACACATGTATGCATGTTACTCTAGTTACTTAAAAGGAAAGGTGTTTCAAATAAATTCTAGACACTAGTAAAAAATACAACAAACTTTCTGTGTTTAAAATTAAATGAAATAATAGAAAATTTTAAATGGAAATCTTTCAGTGCTTTAAAAAAAAAAAAAAAAAAAGAAGATGAAGAAACTCTATAACATTTTTAAAAGTTAAAAATTTCCCCTGTTATGGCCTGAAATCAAATGTCAAAATGTTTTACAAATGCTTATTTCATCTGACCAATAATCCAAACTGAATATTTTAAACCAGCACTGGTGAGACAAGAATAAATGAGCACATTATTTCATTGTGCCTGCTGACTTAAATGAATAACTGGTTATCTGAATTGTTACATCTTTACATCTGATCACAGTCTCACATGTTTCACGTTGCTCTGTGTTAAGACAATAGTATATTTATAAAGCCGTTCAATATTGGATGCTTCATTGCAGATGTGAAATGACTAAAAATAAAAGTGATACCGTCACTGTTTCCCCCCCCCCAAAATGTGCCATTTGGTGTAATACACAAGTCGTAGTGCTTAGTACCGTTAAACATGAACTACAGACAGCTGACTGATGTTTTTATGCCGTTATAGCATTTAAATGTCCACTCCTGGATGTCCTGCTGAAGTGTACAGATGGGCAGCTGCTGACAGGAACTAGATAATTCATATACTTTTTGCTGAATATCTGACTTTTAAAGGTCAAGTGTGTCACACAAGGGATTTAACTTTGTCTGGATTTTTTTTTAAAGCACAATTAGTTAACTTGAACATCACTTCGTGGAAGAAAACTGTTACGAGACACCTCTAGAAGAGGCCCTATTATGACACAAATTAAACCCTTTGGTTAAAACAAAAAAACAAAAAACAGAGCCTCTCTTAAATCAACGGGAGAACCGCATAATAATAAAAACTTTGCCAAAGTCCAGTTGTCTAATGTTTACATTTATAAGCCAATAACAGTTAGGCTAGCTATTGTTGGCTAACGTTAGCCAGGCCTAGCAGAATTTAAAGTTTACGTTACATTATATATGTTAACTTTAACTCTCTCCAATTCGTAATGCAACACAATTGTAGTGGTATTCACCGGGTTGCTGGTTCCGTCTGAAAATAACACTAAAACAATAATATTTCTACAAGGAACACAACCCGGATTTAAGACTTGTCGGCTGGCTCGTTAGCGAGCTAGTTCAGTTAGCCTAGCCGGCCATGCTCTCCGAGGCCAATTAGGGCAAAAAAGACGTGTTGTTTTGCGAGATAGTGGCCGAGATGCGGCGACATGTGAAAGGTTAGAGCATCCCTTCATCTACCAAGCTGATTGATCCAACGCGCCTCCCGTACCCCTGGCTCAGCGCTCTGCTCTTAGCACATTTCCAAAAACAATTTTCATTCATTACACACTGTCGCGCCACAGCAGCGGCACGGTAATGTCGGTCTCCTTTTCTGTAACGAAGAGGGGGAAAAAAACCCACGAAAGCTCAACAATCCTCTAACAGCAGCGTGAAACGCACACAAAACTCCCTTACTGCCCAAAGAAAAATTAAAGCGAACTTACACAAGTGGTGGAAGTTGATGTCTGAAGTGTCGCCGGCTGCAAAGTCTCTTCGTTTTCCTCCTAACCAGAAACAAAGAGCGACCTACCCAGTTGGTTTTTTTCCTTCCCCCCCTCCCCTCTCTCAGCAGATTGTATCGCGGAGACCGGCCTGTGCGGCTCTACAGCGCCGCCTCTGCGCAGGCTCCTCGCTCACTTCCCGCATGCTCAGTGCAGCCTCTGAGATACAAGCAGGCACGAAAGCCCTAGAAGCCGGCATGGGGGATGGGTGAACGAGGCAAACACTGTATTATGGACGAGTATATTGAAATATGATTTAACCCAACACGTATCAACGTGAAAGTACGCAAATGCTCTTAGTACGCTTGAGAAACCACAATTAAATAAAATGTGGCACGAAAACGGTGTCGAGTGCACTTTTCTTTCATGTCATTATTGCTTTGTTTGTATTTAATAATAATATATCTTTCTAACCTTGTGGCCAATGCTTGTTGTTGATCAGCATTTAAGACACATTATTAATGATTGGTTTGCCGTTTACGCTACGAAAGGAAATACTTAAAAAAGATACATGTAAAGACACACTGTAACCCTACTATAATATGAAACAAAGAAAACAAAGGCATGTGAACCTCTAAAATGCTGTAAAGACAATTGTATTGGGTCAAACTATATATTAAGATGAATAAAATAGTTGTACTCTAAATAATTTGAATATACCATACATTATTTAGATAAAGCACGATCATGCTCTTCTGCTTTATGTAGGGACCATCTACTTTTAATTTACCTTAATATTATTTGTTGTCATTATTCTAAATCATACTTATGAGCTTAAAAATATTTCAACTGCTCATCAATCTTTTTAGCATAATCAAGAAGAATATTTACTGTCACATGGTGGAACCTAGCTGACATGTGACTGAGGAACTTAAGGAACATGAGGTCATGACTGTGTCCTTAAGCTGGATTGGACACAATCCCATGCTAAGGTGCTCGGTATGGTAGTAAAAGGGAAACACCCAAAGTAAGAGTCAGGTTGGACTTCTGAGGGATGAGTCTCACTGGTTGGCCAAAAAGACTAGAGCTAACCACGTGGTAGGTTTTACAGGGATCTTGAGGTTACCGCTCTGTTTTAACTCCCCCACTTTGGTGTAGTTTCACTCTTTGCAGCTGTACAAACTATACCCAAATATAACTTGTCTTTTTGTCAAACATCCATGCAGTCACTGTAAAGGAAGAGAAGACTGCATCAGAATCCATAAATATCCATTATTTCAACTATAACATAATCAATACAAAAGTGTTTTATTTTATTTTAAGCCTCATGCACTCATTGGGGTGCAGTTGAAGCTGAACCAAGAAATGGCCTATGTTCACATCAACACATGCTCCTTTTTACTGAAGGACAGAATCAATGTGTTGGCTAGGTTTTTCTCCAAGTTCTTGGAGAAGGCAGCACAGGTATGCTCTGCTCTCCTGAGACCTTCCAGGACAGACTGAAATGGAAATTTGTGGCTAGTAAAGGTGCCACCTGAGGGAACTGGAGGCCCCCTCCGGAAGACTGATGACCTGGGTTATCACATACAGGGGAAGCAAACTGAAAAACAGCAAGGATTCTGAGCAACCATTACTAACTGAACTTTAGTACCGTTTGTATTGTATTACATGCAAGGGACTGAGTCAACATTGTCACGATGGCTGCTTAGAAAAGATGAGGGGGACAAAAACGCATTAATCAGATACATCCTGACATGCAGACATTTTTTCCTCCTTTTGACCAAAACACTCTCTTCCCCCTGACCAAACATGGTTGTTTCAGATGGCTGCCCCAAGATGATCCTGGTTCTGTGGGAAGCTTCTTCCTGTTAAAGGGGAGTTCTACCTCCGCACCATCACTAACCAGTTGCTTATCAAGGATGGTCATTGTAGCTCTCTCTTATTGTGGGGTAATATATTACATTTTAAAGCTCCATGAGTTGACCATCGTTGTGAACTGAACTATATAATCATCACTGAGACTGAAAACAATTATTCTTTCATGGCAATCTTTTTTTTTTTGTTCTCGCTCCTCTTCTCAATCAAGCCTGATGTTTTCATAAGGTCAGTACCAACAGGAAATGCAGTAGTTAAAGTAAGAGTGCACTACAGTGAATACTTATTTCTTTTTCATAAATTAATTTTGTCATTCCTAATCTGTTTATTTAGACAGCAAAAAACCAGCCAACCTGTAACATTTTCAGTAAATCATCATTATCCAGTGAGAGTAACTTTTTAAAACCCATTCAAGAAAAAATTAATCTATTCACTTGTGCGAAATCAATCACAGTCGACTTGAAGTGTAGCACACAGGGCCATGACCTCATGGATATTTGGCCAATCTCAAGTCAATTAGAATGACGAGAGTTGATGAAATTATTAAAGCATTTACCTCTAAAACATAAAAAAAATAAATACAAACTGCAATAAAATATAACATTCTCAGTACTGATGCATAAACACTTCCCATGAAACTACTTAGGAGTCCATCTACCTCACTGTGTGTGAATGATGAGGACAATGTTCTTATGCTCAGTAATTTCCAAAAGGTGCAAAATGCTATGTTGAAAATTCAGTGAAGGACCTCCATCAGGGCAGAGATGATCTTTTTATGTTTACAATAGAACAAACTCATCCATGCTGTTGTTTGTATCGACTCTTCCCAGTTGGGTCTTCCTCTGTAGGAAGGTGACGCTGTGCGTGGGCGTGTTTGCTCTCGCTTCCTCCCGTGTTTTTCCTTCTTCAAATATAAACATGGGATATGTCTCTGCAGATGCTGACACAGCCTGTGGGAGACAGAAGGTGAACTAGAACTAATAACAATAAGCAGTGGAGAGTAGAATAATTCCTTCAAATTAACTTGATCATTTTTTTGTTTTGTAAAAAAAGGACAAAACAAATTTAGATCAGGTCTAACACAAATTATATTTCATGTAATAAAATGCTCCTGGAACAGAAGCCCAAATGATCCATGCACATACCTCATTAACACTTGCGCACAACGACTCAAACTCCATTTGTCCTTTTGCATAAAATCCGATGGTGCAGCTGGGGTCCATGCGAGAGAAAGGCATTTTCCTGGGATTCTTACAGTGAAACGACTGCAAGCAGTGGAGACAGAAATGGGATCACACAAAAATCTCATTAGGCTCAGAGGAGAAACCTCAAAACGTCTCACACTGACGATTCAACAAACACGTGGATATTTGTACACCATGTGGTGCTACTGCAGCTGCCAGGTTTTAACAGAAGTCATTACTTCATAGACAAAATGGGCATCCAGTCCATATACCGAGAGTGCATGAAAACATGCTAGCAAGGATGTAAGTAGAGACGTTAACTAAAAGGAGAAAGATAAACGGTTAAGCGCCAACACAGCATGGCCCAAGATATGGAAGAAAGTTAAAAGAATTCAACCAATTCTGATTGTGTCAGAATCGAGGCCACTGACTGAAAGATATCCGACTCTAACAAGTTAATAATAAACTTTTTGTCAACAAAGTATAACCCGGGTAAACTGAAAAGCAAATATGATCTATATAGCAAGTGTGATGCAAAAAAATATATAATAAAATTACATTTTTTTAATTTTTAAAAAGGGTTTAGATATATCAGTCTTATCCAGTGTTATGAAGACAGAAATTGTGGAACATGTTCTCTTCTTTCAATGTAAAACATGAATATGAATTTTGGAATTTTTAAAACTGGCTTCACTCGGAATAATACGTTTGCTCACTATGAGTATGTGAATGAAAACTGGGGTAACTGGACTGGTAATTAATCTGATTTATGCAAGCACAATATTTTTTGCATAAATCAAAACACGCAAAGTTCAAGTGGACGGAAGAAAGTTCTCAAAATATTTTCTAGATTTCTTTGAAGGACTCACATGTGCTTCTGTTTTATTATCATTTATTTAGTCGTCCATTTCTTGTCTCAACACCAGGGTACGGCTCTTCTTCTCTTCAAGAGCCCTGAAGTGTTTGTATATTGCATTAATTAAAAGAAAAAGAATATTTAACATCACTGCGTCGTTATAACCCCAAGGTGGCATGCCTTTCAGTCTGCGAACACCGACTTGAACCCAACCTCATCCCTGTTGTCCATCTTCGTGCTTTTATTTTTACTCACTTTTAGTCCTTGCTCACTAAAAGCTCAGCATCTAAGTGCTATTTTTAAATTCGCCCTTGTCACAATGGGTCGCTACAGCAAGTAGCGCCACATGTTGGGTTTTTACCTGACAAATCCCTGAAGGTATTTGTGTCTCTGACTGGAATTAAAAGTGCAATATTTTGCTTGCCAGGTAAACATATGAACAACTATACTATGGAAAAACCTCTAAAAAGTCATAATTGAATGGTTTTTATTCAAAGACATATAAACTTTAAAAATATTTCATACAGTGTCCCCGGGTTAAAATTAATTCAAATGACCTATAAGGAAAACGCAGTGATACTGATGAAGGAGTAATTTGAGGGTTCATCTTACACCTGGTGTTCTGCAAACTTGCTGAGCCAGTTCTACTTGTTACCCTTTAAAAAACCAGCCTAGATTTTGAAAAGTTCCACAGGCAAACAATACATAGCAAAGTAATCTGAAACACAACTTTTATTTATTTTTCAACAGAAATGTTTCGAATCCATTTGACTTTGGCACAAGCAGAGGCCCGAGTCAGTGGAAAAGAGGTACTGTAGAGCTGTGGTGGCATGTCTCACCTTACTTAAAAGTGATCACAAGAGGAAACAAAACAGAAAGCCAGAAAGAAGAAGAGAAATGGTTGCTCATACCTCCAAGGGAAAGTTATTTGTTACATCCACTGTGGGCTGACAGTAGTGAGGGTCCAAGTACAGCAGATGGTCATCTTTTGTACAAACGTGCCAGAGGAAGAAAGAAAATGTAAGGACGGACATGAAATGGCTCAACACAATCATAACACACAATTTACTCGGCTTACCCTGGAAGCCAACAAAGAACAAAGAGTGCTTTGGTTTGCCGCCAATGATCCCGATGCAGCACTCCAACATCAAGAGTTTCTGTTGAAAGACAAAAGGAACGGCTGAATTTTTCCATTCAGAGATCCAGTTTTCCTTAAAATAAACAAAAACAAACCCCCCCTCCCTGAAAATATTCACAAACAAGCCTTAGAGACATATCTCTAAGTTCAGTAAGGCACCCAGATTACATTACGTAAAAATACTGGTTCTGTACTTTGACACTGGTGATGTAGGACGGATTGAGATCTTGCCCGCCAAGACGCACAGGAACCAGGATGAGGACAGATTTCCAGTGCTGAGGGAGAGGCCGTTCGCACAACTTCCTCACATCCTGCAGGTAGACTGAACAAAGAAGGAAAGAGACATCTAAAGTCCATTTGACTCATTGAATCTTTTCAACACCAATTTAAGCTTTTAAAAACAAACAACAAAAACCCACATTTTCTTTAAAAAAAAAAAAGAAAAAAAGAATCAACTTTTTTAAAAAGAGTTTATCCACAATCTCCTCTTCTTAAAAAATTAAATATGTTGTGTTGCAAACACTATAAAGATAACACTCACTGGTGCAATCTTGTGCTACATACACAACTAGATTGGGAAGATCCACTACTGCAGCTTCCACAGCTTTCCTGAAACAGAATGACCTTCACTGTTAGAAACGATAAACTTTTTAGTTCAACTGGTCTCTTACATCATCAATTTAAGTCTCACCGGAGGATATGTGCCGCAATGGATGGACCATACCAGTCCCCAGCCTTCTTCCCTGAGCTTTTGCCCAGTTCTACAAGCCGATGTATGCCAAAGGGAGCTGTGGGGTTGTCTGCAAACCAGCGTAAAATCCTTCTGTGTGTACTCTCCACGGGTCTATCCAGGATGGACCCCCAGCTCAAATGTCGACTTCTCTTGCTTTCCCTTTCACTCGAACTAAATCCATCGTTCACAGAGTGCATCAGGTCCATGTCATCTTTGACAACACGTTGGTTCCCAGACCAGGTGCAACCTTAAAAAAAAAAAAAAAAAAAAAAAAAAAGACAGTCGTTATTGAAGAGTTTGTATATTTGTTTCACTGAGAAGTAAAATGCAGTTTTCCACTGTTCTCATCTGTGGCAAAATGATTTTCTTTCAGATGAGTTTTTTTCTTAAGATATTTGTTTTGCCATACTGTAAAATGTTATTGAGCTATACACCATTCTACCTACTGTATGTTCATTATTTGTTGTGTTTAATTTGATGCGATATAAAATTCTGTAACAACTTCTAAAGATGGGGCAAATGAAAAATAGCTCGTTGTGTACACAGACAACTTTGTTTAATTTCCTATAGCTCACTATAGTAGAACAGAGTTAAACTGTAAAATAAGCGTATAGCATTTATTTCAGAGGAATTGCCGTCACTTTTATGCACCGTTTCCCATTTGCAGGTGCTCAAATGTAACTGGACAATTAAATCTAAGGCTGCGTCATGGTGCTTTACCAGTTTAGTAGATTAATGTCAGCAGGTGATTCCCATCATGGCATGAAAGCTGCTAAAACTGTGAACCCCAACATACTAAACAGTCAAAGGAGATTCCAGTGAAAGTTAAGCAAACAGTCCATCCAAAAACAAATGAACCAGAAAGACCGCACAAATAGTATGAATCAAATCAACATTTACATCCTGACGAAATACAACGAAGTACAACTTTCCTAGCATTAAAAAAGAAGCAAAAATAATGGAGCATCATTTCAGGACAAAGCAAAACTTCTTTAGGCCACACAGCCAAGTAAAGAACTTTCTGCAGGAGGCAGCCATGAATGAACTGATTCTTCATGTTTTGGAGAAATGAGACTAAAATTAGACTCGTAATCCGAATCACACAACATCCTTTTGTAAACCACAGAGCAGTCAGCATGATGTTTTGCATGCTTGGCTTCCACTGATGCTGGATCACTAGTGTTTATGGGTGATCACGGAAGACAGATGCATCTGGATGAAATCTGAAGTGCATAGAGCTAAACTTTCTTCCTAGATTCAGCCAACTGCAGCAAAGCTGACTGGACAGTGTTTTTAAATAGCACAGATGGACAATGACCTAAAACACACTGTTAAAAATACTTCAGAAAAGTTTAAAGGCAAAGACATAAAATACTCAACAATGGCTGAGTCGATCATCTGAGCAACTCAAAACAATCGAGCTGAATTTTACCTGCCAAAGACAGAAGTGAAGGCACAAAGACCCCAGATTGAGGAACACCTGAAAACAGCAATAAAAGGCCTAAAAAGGAGGAACCCACTGTTTAGTGTACCCGACTTTAAATTTCAGAGAAATATTGACTGCAAGTAAAGCCAGTCTGTTTGAATGAAAATAATCTCTGGATGTCTTTTCACTTGTTGATCAGACTATGTGATACTGTAGCAGGACAGTGTGTAATCACCTGGTGGCATCAGATGCAGTAGCAGGCCCTGTGCCAGCAGCATCTGGCTGGAGCGTAGAACACAACCCCAACCGCTGTCGGTGGTCAGAGAGGAGCCGGGGAGCGGACGGAAACCTCGTCTGTATGTAAACCACAGGAGCGATGCAAAGCACCAACGGAAATGCTGTTGATCTACTGCAACAATTACAGAGGCGCAATTACAATTTTCTCCTTTGCTTTTACAGTCACATGACAGATCGTTTCAGGGTTTACGCGGGACAAATGCTCTACTCCTACAAAATGCCTCACCTTCATCTTTGAGCTCATAGGATTTCCCCAGCATGAACACAGGAGAGCGCTTGCTAAATTTAGATTTTTGCTTCAAGGTCCAGCCTGAAATGGAAAAACGGTAACTGTTTATTTTCAAAAAACAAGGAGGACAAGCAGGTCTGCTCACCACATCACTTATTTTCAGTCTCTGACAGAAAAAGAACTGACCGTATTTGACGCTGTTCCATGCTGAGACCAACTTGTCTTTGAATCTGCCTTTGTCCTCTGCCTCCTGGTCATCCCTGCTGTCTTCTAGGCCCTGGGAAACAGCTGATTCAGTAGAGAAAAAGACCCAATCATCCATGAGGTCATCAGCAGTAGACTGACCCACAAACTGAGCAGAGGAGGTGCTAGGCTTCATAACATGTAGAGATGACCACGATGGAGCAAGAAGAATTGCTCATTATCATCACAGCAGCCTACACACAAAGAAAAAAATAATAATAGCCCAGTTACATACATATGATGCAATCAGCCATGGATGATGCACCCATATGCAATAATTATAGGATGCATTCTTGCGACACACAAACTCTACTAGCAGATCTCAGAAGCTAATGTTACACTCAGCAAAGCCATTAATGATCCGTGTCAGTAAGGAAAAAGAAAGCACGTGACGGCACCCTGTGACTCAAGGAATTTCAGATATGCCTATTTAACTGCAGCAGGAGACTTGCTGGTTTCTTATTTTAACTAACATTTGGCCACTAACTCTGAAATTTTAGAAAACGGATTTTTGGCAAAGTGCTGCATTTACATGTTCATGCAATTTGTGCGGCTAGATGAGTAAACAGTGTAAAAGTCCCAAGACAACAGTGTAAAAATCTGCACAACAAGCAAAATGAAGTAAATTATCAGAAACAAATGTGCTTGTACTGTTCACAAATTGACACAGTGACTGATATATTTTCATGTTCTGAATCATGGGTCAGTTTTCCAGCCTAGCCTTACACTAAAAGCTTATTTTTTTCCCCCCTCAGTGGAGATCATCCTTGATTTTTCTTTTACTCTGGGAGTAGGCTTAATCTATGTCCGTGGAACTGGCTGTATGAGTTTGTTAATACTAATGTTAATTTGTTAATCAATGAGTTGATGAGACTGAGTTGCTGCTGTTAGCAGAACTTCATAAACAGATCAGTAGCTTAGTTTTGTGCCTCTCCAGTTCAGGCTAAGGGCCTCCTCAGATGGGGAACAAGATAAAACTGATGTAGGAAAGGAAACAACACAATGCTCAACTGAAAAAAGGGTAATTATTTTGACCTCTTAACCTTCTATATTTCAGTTGAATGTGTGTATTTCACAGTTACTTTCAAACGGAACCATTTAAAAAAAGGGACATCAAACATAAGGCCCAGGGGCCAGAATCAACCCACAAGAGGCTCCAGTCCAGGTAACTGGACACCTTTGAACAATGTGAAAAAGTGCATGGATTTTGGACTTTTAATTGTATTTTCATGAGTTTTACGTTTGATATTACTGACAAAAGACACCCCGCTCCCCCACAATGCCTTTCATGCTATACCAAAGTAGTTAAGTAAACAATTAAATAAGAGAAAATATACCGTTTTTCAGTATCTACTATAGATGTCTTGTTTTTTTGTGTTTTGTATTTTCTGTAAATGAACAAAACAACTGAGACATACATCCTGTTAAATTGCACCTTTTTTTCTTAAATCATGGGCATCTCGGGGATTAAATGTCTAGTTAAATGTCTCTGCACTCAGAGAAAGGGAAGTTTCACTGGTCTGGCCCACTTAAGGTCAAAGTGAGCTGTATTTGGCCCGCATGATGTAAAAGTTTAACCACGACCTACGAGTTTTAGTTAGTAGTCTCTCTCTTCGGTCGTTCAGTTCAAACATCTCACAATTGAAATATTTCAGAAGTCCGGTAAAGCTTGGGAAACTGGTTTAATACTGAACAGCTTATTATGATGTGCTCACGTGTTTTGTTTTTTAATTTTAAAGAAGCATTAAGTCTTTAAGTTCGAATACTTAAATTGTAACGTTACCTTCCATAGGCGAGTGGCACGGAATCAAACTAGTTTACAGTAAACTACAGCGCTGTGTGAATACACCAGTGACACCTCTGTCAAACAAAATTAAGCGAATTAACACATAAAAAATACATTTTACCATCATTTCGGTAGTGTCATTCTACCTCCGGTGATAAGAATGAGTCCGTGAGCAAATGTGAATGAAGTGTGCCGGTCTGTTTTCGTTTTGTTGGGCTCAGTTTTGCTCGGTCTTCGAACAGCAGCAGTCAAGTGAAGTTGCGCTCACTTCCTGTTTATACAGGTCACGTGTTGTCACTCCTGTGATTGGCCAACGGAGGACCAATAACAGTGAGACCCGACTCTCAGGGCGGACGTTCATGTTAGACTCAAAAAGTGAGACAAAGGAAATATTTTTTGCATTTTATTCTGCACTATAGGCTTTTTTATTTTATTTTTTTATTTTTTTTAGTTTGTTTGTTTTTGCATTGTTTTTTTTACGACAGTGGCTATTAGGTATGTAACAATGTAATGGACAACAATAGTCTGAGAAAGCAAAGTTCTCGTAAACACGCCTAACACTTGGACAAAAATAGATGTGACAGCAACATCACAGCTTCCGACTTAACAGAAAGACTAGTCAAAACTGCACAGGATGGGCTAGCCACATAGATTTGGTAAATTTCTCATTCTAAACGTAATCAGCGTCAGAACATGAACTAATATTAGTAGTAAATCAGAATTTGAAATAAATACAAAGTTACTAAATACAACAAATAGAAAAAATATAAGAAAAAATAAAAAGTTTGACACAACATAAAGTGCATTTTTTTCCTCACATCACACTAAAACCACCACTGTTTAATGTCTAAACATCTAAACGTCATATAAATCTGATTCAAAGATGTTCATCATTAATCAATCAGAACTATAATGTGTGGGTTAGAAAGATCCACAGGCAGAAGATAGACTGCTCATTAAATGTTCACTAGTTTTTTTGTGTACCTCAGGTCCTCTGGTGTCAAGTTAGTTCATCCACAAGGTGGCAGTCTAAACCAGGTCTTGGACCTGGAGTCCAGAATCTATCAAGATCACTTGAACACACAACAATAAACATCACCTTAACACTAAAATCCTCTTGACAGATCTACTCCTGTGTACAACCTACTACGGTTTCACTGACGAGGATGCTCAGTTTTATGGAACTGGGCACTTTTGGATTGCATATTGTTACACATTTAAGTACAAAAACCCAACAAAAACATCACATTATCCCTAAATGAAAACACTGGCACTTTCCTTCACACCTATTACACTATAAACTGTACTTCTGCATAAATAACAAAGAGCGAGTGAAACCACAAAATCTCCTCTAAGTTGTACTTTCATTACGCTTCTGTCTCCACTTTGTCTCCATACCACACTCTGAGCACACTTATATATTCACTTAATAGGTTAAAATATGTAATTGCACATTTCACTATGACCAGCAGAGACAGCTATTTAAACCAAATGCTTGACTTATTGCAACCCTTTCCCCTTATTTTTTCTCATCTAGAGCACAATGTAAATGTAATATTGAGGACACACACAGAGAAAAACTCACATCATTAACACATTGCATAGCGTCCCAGTGCAAGATCACCTCACCAGTGTCTCAAAATCCAGCCCTTAAACACATCTGGAACAAACAAGCTGATCCCCATTCCAGTATCTTGGTCCAGAGTTCAGGATTGTTTGACCCCCCCCCCCAGTGCACGACATATGAAAAACCTTTCTGTGTCTGATCCCTTTTAGTAACTAAAGACTAAAGAAAATACAGTTCGTGTCATACTGAACTAAATGATATAGCCGATGTAATGTAATGCCCATTTAAATGAGGCATGTGTGCCAAAATTATGTTCACATGCTCACTGCTTATGTCTGCTTAACATGTCAAGTTATATTTGAAACAGTCCAGGACAAAAATACAAAACGTAGAAACCAGCATACAGTTAGCTCCATAAGCTTTTGGGACATTTTCAAACACAAGTGAAGTGAATGATTGCAGATTTCTTTTCTAGGAACCCTTTTGTGAAGGTTGTCAAAGCCTACAAATATGAAATACAGAAGGATCAGAATAATCAATAAAGAAAAATAAGGAGAAAAAGAGAAACAGCTTCTGATCTGAAGCACACCGCATCATCCGTCAAACATGGTGGAGGCAGTGTTATGGCATGGACATGTTTAGCTGTCAGTGGAACTGAGGCACTAGTGTTTATTGATGATGTGACCGTTGAAAGAAGCAGCAGGATGCATTTAGTGAAGTGTACAGGAACATGCTTTCTGCTCGGTTTCAGACAAACACTGCAAAACTGATCAGACAGCTCTTCACGGTGCAGCTGGATAATGACCTAAAGCAAACTGCAAAATAAACCCAAGAGTTTCTAAAAGCAAAGAAATAGGAGATGTTTAAAAACTGTTTAAATATTAAAAGAAAAGCATAAATGAAAGGCAAAATTAATTTAAAATAAATAAATAACATGAAATGTAAACCCAAGTGTAAAAAATAAATTGATCAAAATTCACAAATAGAAACAAACAGCAACCGAGTAAACAAGCAGTAAGAAATTTTTCACAGGAGACTTGACAAAAACTATGTAACGCCTCAAATTTGACTAAAAGCAAACACAATTTGTTGGGTCTCTAAAAGTTATTTAAAATTATCAGCTGTTTGGAAGGACCTTACACAGATTGTTCCAGAGCCTGAGATCCATAACAGAAAGTAATCTTCAACATATTGTGGAGCTGACTCACAATAAAAATGCTATTACATAAGAGCATTTAAAAAAATCAATTCTGTCTTTCACAGTTTTTTCTTTCTGCTACGAGTTAAGTCTTTGAAACAACATAAAAAATATTTAGTCACATGTCAAATCGACACACACGGCAAACACGTGAACATAATTTTGGCACTACTGGACCCCCATACAAGGATAACAGACTCCGACCTGTCTGCGCATGTGGCTGTGTTCAGTTGAAAAGTTGTTCACAGTGTTCTCTACCTTAAGGTCTGCTGTATAATTTTAATTTTTTTAAATATTCTTTCATTTCCCATGTACAGTGTTAGACATGCATTCAGACATATGCATTTGTTTGTACTATATACAACATAATGTGATGAACATACAGTACATACACAGGTCTACATTAGGACACCATGTGCACATGTTTTCCAGCAGGAGTCAGCTGATGCAACTTTGTTCTGTCATCTTTTTTGGTCTTTTTTTCAGCATGTCTCTCCATTTACATTTTGTGTAAATTCATGATATGTTAGCTTGATGCTACAGTTAAAAAGGCATTGCATGGGACAATCGCACTCCCTCTGAAGCTCTTATCACGAGTGATGCTTAGAGCTGCGAATGTTTCCTTTATCAGATTGGATAGTGCTGGCTGCTGTCTGAGCCCCCCGGCGGAGACTGACAGACGAAGCTTCTCCTTTTCCTGCAGTGCTTCCCCGCTTCTCCTCGCCAGACTTGGATATGTCTTTTACCTTGCCTCCCTCTTGTGATCCCCCCTTCATAGGCCCGAGGACTGTTTTGGCCACGCTTGTGAGCTGGGTAACGAAGCTGGCTTTATCCCCTGGAGACATGGGCCGTGACTTGCTCGAGGCGGGTGAGGCTGCATTCGAGGAAGGCGACATGGGGTTCTCCTCCAGGACCTCCAGGTGTTGCCTCTCCTCCTTGACTCCTCTGTTTGTTGGCTTCTCCTCTTTGCATCTGGCTGCAGCGTGGGCTTGACCCTGGTTTGGAATTACAGGTGTAGGTCCTTTGAGCTTGGTGGTATCACTAGCTTTATAGCTTGCGCCTTTCTCTATCGTGTCTGTACCTTTACGCTGCTTGAGCTGCTCTGTAGGTGCTTTCTGAAAGGTCCCTTTGTGTGCAGCTGAAGGGCCTTTTGCCTTCTCCTCAGTCTTCTCCTGAGCTTTTGTTGCAGGTCCACTATCTGTTTGTGCACTTTGCTGCTTGGAGTCTTGCTTTAGCAGGCCCTTTGATGTGCCTGAAGGAGACTTTTTTTCACTGGGTTTACTCTTAAAAGTTGCTGCCTCAGAACCGGAAAGGCTTGAACTTGGAGCTTTGATCCCAGAACCAGGCTTAACCTCTGAAGATGAAGCACTGGACTTGATTTCAACTGCAGCTCCACATCCATGACTCTTTGCAACCTCAGCAGGAAGTAACGTTTTACATGTGTCAACGACGCTCATCTTAGACTCTGCTTTAGAAGCTGCACTCTCAGTTTGTGACCCAGCAAGCTCAGACTCTGTGGTTTGGACTTCTTTCTCTCTTGCTGTTAAGAGTGTGTCACGGCTGAGTGGCGATTCCTGCCTTCCCAGACGTCTCACAGGCTTTAGGCCTCCAACTTCCCCTCCCATAGGAGGAGAGGGGGAGGATGATGATGAAGGAGATGGGGGAGCGGGTCCGTTCTCTCCTTCCATCTCTAGCAGACTTTGTAGACTGTGCTCACAGTGGAAGGACTCTCTCCTGTAGTCCCCGTGTGTCACCTCCAGGCTATGCTTGCGTAATGACACCCCCCCTGTCAGAGGAGAGGGCGATGATGATGATGAAGAAGGCAAAATCTGTGCTCCTAGCTTCTCTGCAGACTGCACCCGCTGCAGCAAAGGGGACCTGGGTGGCTCCGCACTCTTGGGACGTGGGCGGGCAACAGGAGGTGAGGAGTGCAGCTTGGCAGGAAACATCTGCGTGGTATTGGAGCTCCCTACCGTGTGCCCAGTGAGAGGTGGAGGAGAGGAGGTGGTCGGGGACGGGGTGTGAGCCAGGGGAGACAATGGGATGTTGCCAGCAGATTTGCAGCGAGCCGAGCGGTACTGCCGGTGAAGTTTGGGAGACAGCCCATGTAGGGAGCTGGGTCTCATGTGGTGAGTGGTTGCAGGTGAGTTAGGGGTGCTGGAGGCCGGGGAGCTGCTCTGGGATGATGTACCTGACGAAAAAGAAGAATATTTGAATATTTTTTTCCCAACACAATAAAATGAATATGTGTGTGTTTCTACTCATGTGTCTTGAGTTGTAGGCTAAATTATATAAAGTATATGTGTGATGAAACACATGAAACATACTTGCAATGTTAAACGCAGCTCTTTCACCTTATTTTTTTCTCAAAACAAAGTTTCTTTTGAACATTATATACTGTATGCTTCTCTTAGGCAATATTACTAGAAAACACTCCATACATTTTAATTTCTATACCCAGTTTTATCTATTCATTAAGCCAGATGATATAAATCGTTTAGTTAAAGTACAGGCATGTCTTAAAGACCTGCACAACCTCTAATTTCCTGCTTCTAAATTCAAATAAAATGACATTATTGTACTCAGCCCTAATCTTAGAAACATTATGTCTTACCAGATGCTTTTATGGCATTACCCTGCCCTCCAGTAACACTGTGATTATATATCACAGTGAATATTGGAGTCATTTTTGACCAGATATGTCCTTCAGTGCGTATTTTAAGCCTTTAGTCACTAGTGCGGTATTTCTAAAATTAGAAACATCCTGTTTCAGAATGATGCTTAAAGGCTAGTTAATGAATTCATTACTTCTAACTTGACTACTGTAATTCATTATTATTAGGAAACTGCTTTAGTGAACTAGCACAAAAAATGAATGAAACTAAATATAGTGTTAGTAACAAAAAACACTCAAAGTATTTCCTTCCCCAATAACTAATAGAGAAATGATTAATGTTTAGTCTTCCCCACTGGACTCCACAGGCAAGACATTACACGCATCTTCCTCCATCGCATTACTCCCCAATTGTTTTTTGCTTTTAAACGAGATTATAACAGGCACACGTGCTGGTCGCCTTAAATACTAACCCAGGTGCGGGGATTCAAGAGCGCCACGATAACTCTGAGTGGGCGAGCGGGCAGAGAGGCTGTGGGTGGGGGAGCCCGGGAGACTGTCTCCAGACGACAGGGAGCGATTTAAAGACGAGAGGCTCCGGCTGGTGTGGAGCAGGTTGGACTGCTTGGTAATTTTCCTGAACAGGGAGCTGCGCTTCTTACTGAAAGATGAACAAAAAGCCGAATGACTAGAGTGAAATCATCTAAATGACAGAGGGATACGTTTTCTTGGAATGCTGCAGTGACGCACTCTTGTCCGTCCTTGGCTCCGGTCCTCTTGATGCGTCGTGCCATCTTGCATTTATAGCTGGACTTGCGGGCAGGACCCACTTTGATGGAGGTGTTTTCAAAAGGAGTTGTTGTAATAGTCACCTTGTTCCCACTCTGCAGTTGATGCGCAATTATATGATTTATATTAGTACATAAATATATAGATAGATGTTTTTTAAATTGTTTTTATTTTAGATGGATAGATCTCTCCTACCTTCAGGATCAGCTCCACTACCTCTGTATGGACCAAACCGTGGACTGACTCTCCATTTACATGAGTGATGAGGTCACCAGCACTAAGTCCAGCCTCCTGAGCCGGACCTCCATCTTCCACATGCTGTGATTGGAACAAATAAACATCAGTATATTAGCCCAGTTCCCTTCAGATACTGTATGGTACTCTGCATGGGCTGTTCTGCAGAATCACACTAAAGGCGCTATGCGAATAAATAGTAATAATCACATTTGTTTCTGCATTGCTTTAAAGGGAGAAATCAAGATTTCTGCATCCTGTTTGCTTTGCTCTCTCACCCAGACCATGTGATGCACGCTGTAAACATCGCTGTCTCCCATGTAGACTCTGATAGCTCGGAGGGTGAAGCCGTACTTCTTCCCAGAGCGGTGGATGGTGATGGGAGAATGCAGGATGTTGACCATCGGGGAGTAGTCTCGGCTGGGGGATGAGTCACGAGAGGAAGGGTTGGACGAGAGGGAGCGGGGCGACATGGGGCTCGCCAGAGGGGATGCACCGTGTTGTTCCACTGAGGAGAGAAAGCACAAAAGATTCATTTGTAAACACTATTTTTTTAAATGTCTTTGTTAATGCAGTAAAAGAAATGCCTTTACCTGCTGGAATGATGACAGACAGAGCAGTGGCAGAGGCAGATTTGATAACTTTAGTTCCTGGTCTTGAGCTGCGTTTTTCTCCTTCCGAGAGCTGCTGGTGGCGAACTCTTCGCAGCACCAGGTCTGTGGTGGCCCCACGAGTCCCCGGTGGGTCTGGGAGCCCCAAAATGGTAGCACTGCTTGGCAGGGGCAGTGATGCATCAGCAGGTCTCAACAGTTTGTCTGTAATAAGGCAGAGACATGAAAGGTGATAGGAAATATATGTTTTCAAATGAAATTGTTCAAGTCATGAGATGCTCCCTCATTCGTCTTACCGCCAGCTGCAAAGCCATTACTTTCTTTAAGGAATGCCCTCAGGTCGCCTTGAGAAGAGATGGTACCCATGGCTCCTTCCAGAGACGTTCCCCTGGCCTTCACTGGAGGTTGTCTGCCCGGGACAGGCAGCTCAGAGTCCAACTCCAGAGGGGAGGCCAATCGGTAAGAATCCATAAGAGCAGAGAAGCGCCTCCGTGCCCCAGACGGAGGGCTGGAATCACTCTCAGTGAAGGAGGACTCTGAGCAGGATAAACGCTTCCTGAAAACCAAAGACAATTATATTCTGAAATAAACTTTCAATGCCAATGAACCCAGGTAGAAGATCAAAAACAAACGGAAACTGTCTAGCAAACACAGATAGCACTTTTTTTATTAACTGTGCTTTTACTCACATCTCCGGTGAGCCAGTCCTCCAGCTCTTATCTCGGAGGGTGACACTTCCCAGGCTTTCTCTCTTGGCTAAGCGATCCTCCCTGGGGACCTTGTGCTCCCGTAGAGTCACGCCATGGGGTTTATGCTCCAGCTGAGACAGATGCTCCATACTGCTGTATACCTTCACATCGGTGCAGCATAACAGTAAATATTTGGGTTCTTTTGATTGATTTGAATGTAGACTGATGAATAAACACTGACAGAAAAATAAAAGTTTAGGTCCTGACCTTACTGAAGCGAGGGGAACACGACGAGAAGCGATGAATCTCCACGGGCTCGTCGTCATTGGTATCGTCTTCATCGTATGAATGCACGTGGTGATAGCGCTCTGAACGAGCTGGGGGTGAGAAGTAATGTACATTCAGTCAACCACTGCTGACTGAATGTGCTTTATGCTAACATTTACATGGGAGAGTTAAAGACCTTGACCTGTTTCCAAGAATAAGAAATTCCTAAGGTTTAAAGGATCTGTGCTGGAATTCATTCTCTTCAATACCATTCCTTCATTCCCAAAGGGGAACTTACTGTCAAAATAACTGGTGTCTTCCTCTGACTCTAGATGAGGGATGAACTCTGCCTTCTGTCTCAGCAGGCTGTTCCAGTCCACCTCAGTGAAGAATGAGTGCTGCTTCACTTCAAAAGCACCACCTTCGGGGCAGAGCAAAGGAAAGGAGGTGGATGTAAAAAGAGAGAATGAGGGAGCGCGATGACAGACAGGTAGTAATAGCAGCCCTCAAGCATGTGGAGGCATTTCTACCCTGAATGAAGCTGACTTATTTGGGTAAACTGAACCCGTAAGCCAGCGCGCAGGATGACAGTTATTGTTCTAGGTCAGCGAGCCCCAGTCAGGGTTAGGTGTACCCAAGAGGGATGTGCAGTGGTGGAAGAAGTATTCATATGCATTTCTTAGATGAAAGTACTAATACAGCACAGTAAAAAAACCCACAAAAAAACAACTGAACTACAAATAAAAGTCCTGGATAGAGACAAAAGCATATACAGTGTCTTGTTTCACTGCTGAGAAGACAGACCAGTACAGTAAGGTTTATTAGATGGTATAAAGGAAAGCTGTTAACAGGAAGTCAGCCTAAACAATGAAATCATCAGGAAACCACAATGAGACTGTGAAAACACAAAGAAGAAAACACAAAAAATCTCAGTTTGGTGGGCCAACTGGAACTGTGACTAAAAGTTTGAGTGGACCACAGAAGACTGCAAGATTTCACATCAGGCTGCGGCATTTCTATTTTAGGATTCAAATACATCAGGAATCATTCAAATTTGTGCATTTTCTCAGAAAAGTTCATCTTAATCTTTGCAGAATAATGTTGCAGCTAAAAATCAAAGGAGAACGTGTGCAGTGGGATAGAAGCAAACTATTCAAGCACACTGCTACAGAATTGTTCAGGGAAGGTTCCCAAGTGTATCTTCAAATGTAAATAAATATACATGCCACTTTATTAGCAACACCTTGCTAGTACTGAATTGGACTCCTTTGGCCTTCTGAACCGCCTTAATTTATTGTGGCATAGATTCAACAAGGTGGTGGAAACATCCCTTGGAGATTTTTCTCCATGTTCACATGACAGCATTACACAGTTGCTGCAGATTTTTAGACTTTCTGTTCCACCACATCCAAAAAGGGCTCTGTTGGATTAAGACCTGGTGACTGAGGAAGCCATGTGGTTACACTGAACTCATTGTCAACTTCAAGAAACTAATTTGAGATGATTTGAAGTTTGTGACATGGTCTGTTATCCTGTTCGAAGCAGCCATCAGAAGATGACTGGTGAAGGGTAGACTGTGGTTATAAAGGGATGGACATGGTCAGCAGCAATAGGTAGGCTGAGGATTTTAAACAATGCTCAATTAGCACTGTTTTAAAATAGTGTCTCTAGTGGGCCAAGAAACACCATAACCAGCCTGAATTGTTGGTAAAAGGCAGGATGGGTACATGCTTTCATGCTGTTTATGCCAAATTCTGATCCCACCATCTCATTGTGCAGTAGAAATCGAGACTCATTACATCAGGCAACGTTTTTTCAAATCTTCTATTGTCCGGTTTCCTGTTCCAGTCATCAGTTTCCTGTTATTAAGCTGACATGAGTGACACCCGGTGTGGTCTTGGCTGCTGGTGGTTCAACATGTTGTCCATTCAGATATGCTTTTCTGTATATCTTGATTGTAAAAATTTGAGTTACCTTTTCCTTCCTATCAGCTCAAAACAGTCTGGCCATTCTCCTCTGACATCAGCAAGACATTTTCACCCAGAGAACTGCTGCTCATTGGATATTTTCTCTTTTTAGACCATTTGCTGTAAACCATAGAGATGTTCAGTTTGCTCAGTTTGAACTTAAGCAGGTTACCTTAACCATGTCTATATGCCTAAATGCACTAAGTTGCTGCCATGTGATTGGCTGATTAGATGTTTTAAGTGGGAGTTGAACAGGTGTACCAAATGAAGTGGCTGGTGAGCCTACATCATTTCCACATGTAAGCATTACACCATACACTGGACTAAAGAGTGAATGAAAACTAGCAGAGAGGTCTGAGCGGAAAAATCAATTATTACCACAGCTGAGAGTAAACAAATATGGTTAGAATAGTGCAAAAATATTGGAACCATAAAATATCTGTGATGCATAAATCTGCGTCAAGTCTGATTCAAATTTAAATGAATGCACATAGAAAATAACTTCAGGTGGTGAGGAATCACTACACGATTTCATCTGAATCCTGGAGAAGCCAGAAGCTCTGCTGTAGGAGACTGACCTGTGCCCAATCGAACCAGCGGATTTGTCTGCAGAAGAGAGGAGATCAGGTGCTGGGCATCAACAGGAAGAGCCTCATCTCCTTCTGGCCACACTATGTCATCTACCAGAAACAAGCCGACAGAGAGAGAGAGAGATTATGGTGGATGGTACATGACTAACAGTTTGTTTTACTTATCAGCTGCGCTCGGTGTCCAATGATGCTATTTCTACTGAGATACTTTGATCTCTCACCTGTAATGACCTGTCCAAACAGCTCCTCTGGAGTGTCTCCAAAAAAAGGCACGCAGCCCACCAGGAACTCATATAGGATGATGCCCATCGCCCACCAGTCCACTGGCTTTCCATAACCCTGACGAAGAATAACCTCTGGGGCGATATACTCTGGAGTTCCGCACACCTTAAAGTAAAGCAGCAATCGGTCGTTTCTTAAATTTTATGACCTCCGATTTTTGTGAATTACTTGGGACCCACTCATCCTTACAGGCGTGTGCATTTTTGCTGCTAATAACATTTCTTTCACATCTAACTGAATCGTGTATTCATCATTTACAACCGTACAGTCGCTCCTACAGTCGTCACAGAGCGGGAAACACACAGCATGTGGGGAGCATGCATATTTATGCTTAGCCAAGCCATCACCTCAAAGATGCCAAGACAAGATGAAAGCCCCGGTGGGTGTTTTTTCATGTGCAGATGGGCATGCACTGAATCCTAACACATATGTGGTCGACGTGATGAATGCACGTGAAATAATGAGGCTTAAATTCAAAGCGAGTGCTGAATAAAAGCCCTGGAAATATAAGCCTTTCCTGAAAGAGAAATTATTATAACCAAGGAAAGGCTGGTCTACTGTTGTGCCAACTGTGCCATATTTGTCAGATACACCTGCCACACAATGGCAGGGAATATCTTTACATGGAAATGCAGCATTCAAAGGAAATTTTATAGTGAAACTTGCTTGGATCATACTGTAGTCTACACTTTATTGCTGATAAAATAAAACACACACACACACACACACACACAGTTGTCCTGATGTGTACAGTACAATTAATTTAAATTGACTCACATTCGCTCGATACTTAGTTTTAATATAGCAGAGAGTTTTATTAATTTGTAAAATTCAGATGTTTTGTCAGACTTTATTTAAACAAATTAAGATCTGAGTAAATGGCTGTGTATCTGACTTCGCTTTGGTCATACCTGTTTATCCAAAAATTCTCGAGTATCCTTCTCTATGTGTCCTTCATACAAGTTGGTGGTCAGGCTCATCAGACCCATCTTCGACAGGCCAAAGTCAGTCAGTTTGATGTGGCCCATTGAGGTAATTAGGAGGCTGAGAACAGAAAGACAAAAGTTAAATTTGAGCAGTCTAAACCTTATTTATACATCTTAGCAAATAATTGGCACTTGCTCTCTTTGCACCTGTGTGACAGAAACTAGCTCCATCTTACTTGTCAGGTTTGAGGTCACGGTGCACAATGCCATAGTTGTGTAAGTACTCCAGCGCTAGGACTGTCTCTGCAAAGTACATGCGTGCCATTTCCACGGGCAGAGCCCCGATGTTCTTTAGCAGGGTGGCACAGTCCCCACCTGCCAACACAATTCAATATTTGATTAGTGTCCCGGGTACTCACCAGTTACAATGATTGGCTCCTGGTGGCTTTTGTGCTAGACTCCTATTTAGGCTGACAAGCACACATAGTAATGCTATATAGTTATTTAAAACTATGCTTCTTATTGTGATTGTTTGTATTGACAACATACAGGCACACAGGGAACCTACACTGGACCTCTGACCTCTTCTTCAAGGTCAAATAAGGTCAAACTTTCATAAGTTTGCTGCTGCCTTTGTATTGTATTGGGAACATTTAGGAAATGTTACAAAATATCATGTCACCTTTGACCTCTGACCTCACCGACCTACATTTCACATCTTCCTTTCTTTCAAGTTGACCCCAAAATGTGCTACATCTTTCTAAGAGCGTCTTGTTAAAGCCTTTTATCACTAATATTTAGTAGTAATAATGACATTAGTTAAACAGAAGCATCAAACGAGTCTCCAATAGAGGATTATAAATAAATGAAATCCTTACTACTTCAAAAAGCTCTCAGTGTCTATAACCCAATGAGACCTCTCAGGTCAGCAGGTGCTGATCCTTCACTTGTTCCCAGAATCAGATCCAAGTCTGCTGAGAGCGCTTCAGTTACTCTGGTCCTATTATTTGGAACAAGCTGCCTGCTGACCTCAGATCAATTACTACTGTGTCTCAAAAACAGACTCAAAACCATTTCCACAGGCCTGCACATGATAACTGTGCCACTTTGGGAAGCACACTGAGTTTACATTTAAGGAAATGTGTCATGATATTCAGTTCAGTCAATATACGGTGGGATTTAGGTTATGGTGTATACAAACAGGAACATTTAGCTCACTAACCAGTTAACAGCTTAGA